GAGTACATAGCCCCTTGTTTTCTTATTTAGTCATTTCCCCCTAGGATGTTCTGTTACCATCTTTCAGCCTTTGGCATTTTGCAGAGGAAACATTTTTGTAAAAGAGTCAGGTTGTTAGCGGAGAATCCTAGATTGTCAGAGCTGAAAGGACTTGAGAGATTTTCTGGGCTCTCTGGAAACTCCCACCTCCCTCCCGCTCTTCCCATCTCATTATACAAATGAGGCTCAAAGAAGAAAACTGATTGCTTAAGATTATAAGACATATCAGTGGCAGAGTTGCAAAGTATATCACATTTTATACCATATATTGCTATTTAACTTTCACATATGAGTTAGAAGTCTGCAATTAGCTTGAATATTCCTTGAGAGCAAGAGCTTTATATTTTCCTTAATTTCCCTTCCAATACCTAGGATAGAACTTAACAAGTGCTGCAATATTGTGAAGGAGAGCATAGTGCATCCTGGTGAAGAACACAAACTCTGGATTCAAGTTCTGGTTCTGTTATTTACTATCTGCATGGACTTAGACAAATTACTTAATTCTTCTGTGTTAGTTTCTTCTCTATTACATGAGGATGGTAATGGTGGATAAAAAGAATCAATGAATTAACAGCTATATTTTATGGGTCCTTAGCATGTTTGAACCCATAAAGAAACATTAACAATTATATTTTATAACTGTATTGATTAATATAATACAGGCTAGATTTAGTATTATATATTCATTATTATTACATTTATTTTTCTGATTTTATTTATTTATTTATTTATTTTTTGAATTTATTTTATTTATTTATTATTTTTACATATTTTATTGATTTTTTTTGCCCCCTCCCTCCCTTCCTCCCACACATCCCCTCCCTCCCCAGAGTTTTATGTCCATTGGTTGTACTTATATGCATGTATACAAGTCCTTCGGTTGATCTATTATCTCCCCCAGATCCTCCTCCCCTCCCCGCTGTAATTTGACAATCTGCTTGTTGCTTTACTGTCTCTATATCTATCTTTTGGTTCATCAGTTTATAATGATCTTTATTATCCACAAATGAGTGGGGTCATGTGGTGTTTCTCTTTCATTGATTGGCTTATTTCACTCAGCATGATGTTCTCCAATTCCATCCAGGTTGCTGCAAATGATGAGAATTCCTTCTTTTTTATGGCAGCATAGTATTCCATTGTGTAGATGTACCATAGTTTTTGGATCCAATCATCTGCTGACGGGCACCTAGGCTGTTTCCAAATTCTGGCTATTGTACAATAGATTGTGCTGCTATGATTTTATTTTTTAAAATATATTTTTAATGATTTCAGAGAGGAAGGGAGAGGGAGAGAGAGATAGAAACACCAAAGATGAGAGGGAATCATTGATTAACTGCCTCTTGCATGGCCCCCATTGGGGATCAAGCCTGCAACCCAGGTATGTGCCCTGACTGGTAATGAAATTCTGATCTCCTGGTTCATAGGCCATTGCCCAACCATTGAGCCATACCAGCTGCGGCTTTTCAGATTTTAAAAGAATTTAAAATTAACACATTTTTTTGGGCCTCTAAAAGTATTGTGGGCCCTAGGCACTGTGCTTAAAGGGTAAGTTGGCCTCACACAGAAACCTCTTAGAACAGTACTTGGCACTTTCCAAGTGCAGAATAGATTTAGCTTTATTGTTACAGGTGCTCAATTTCGCGATTAGTTGGCACTACTGTAGCACTTGGAGTTTCCATTTAGATATTAGAATTTAGTGCCTTGGTTTAATGCACATTAACGTACATGGCTTATCAACGTGGGAGGGAAAAAGATTTTTGGCAGTTGTAATTTCCCCTATGCGCACTATCACCAAAGCCTTTGTATTTTACAGATGGAGGAAGCCTTTTTGTTTGTGGCCTGAACAAAGATGGGCAGTTGGGGCTTGGTCACACGGAGGATGCTCTCTATTTCACACCCTGCAAATCCCTCATTGGCTGTCCCATCCAACAGGTGGCCTGTGGCTGGGACTTTACCATTATTCTCACAGGTGAGTTCACTCCTAGGGGAATCTTTGTCACCACAAAGGCTTTGAGTGAGAAGAGCACGATGGTCTTGATGCTGATGAAATGAAAGCCTCTTTGGATTTAAAACACACACACAAATGTTCCTTATGGTTGTCAAAGGAAGTTATGAGGAGTCTTTTGCAAGGAGAGTTTAAACGGTAAAACTTTGGGCAGGAAAACTTTTTTTAAGAAAAAATATTTTCATTGATTTCAGAGAGGAAGGGAGAGGGGAAGAGAGCTAGAAACATCAATGATAAGAGAGAAAAATTGATTGGCTGCCTCCTGCACCCCGCTACTGGGGATTGAGCCTGCAACCCAGGCATGTGCTCTTGATCAGAATTGAACCCAGGACCCTTTAGTCCGCAAGCTGATGCTCTATCCACTGAGCCAAACTGGCTAGGGCTGGGCTGGTAAACTTGCCGGAGACTGGGGAATGAACCAGATCACCTTTGATGACCACTTCCTGTCCCAGAAGTTCATGATAGCTGCACGGCTGGGCTAGACGGACAGTAGTGCCAGCTATGGTTACTCACAGGGGAACGTTGTAGGTGTGTGAGGAAATCAGTGATGGTAGCTTTCCTCTTCCAAAATATGAATGTGACTGGACAGAACTGTTTCTGTGAAGCCAGATAGCACAATAGGATGTAGAGGGAAATGGGCAAAGAGTTAATAGAATACAGTTGCTCCTCTGTATCTGCAGGTTTCACATCTGTGGATTCAACCAACTGCTGGTCAAAAACAGTAGTCAGTGTTTTCAATCAGTGGTTGGAAATTCAAGAATGCAGAGGGCCAACTGTATGCATTGTCCTATGCTGTTTTATATAAGGGACTTGAGTATCCTCGGATTTTGTTATCTGAGTGGGTCCTGGAACCGATCCCCTGCAAATATTGAGGGACCATGTTAATGTTCTTGGGAATCAGTTGACAATACTTTGTCAGCTGATTTCTTCCTGGAAGTATTTTTGCCCCATCTAGCTGGCCATTCTGGATTCAAAGGACCATCTATAATTTCTGACTAAAGTTCCTCATTGTCACAGTCCTCTGGTAAGAGCATCTTCTGGCCATACAACCCCCCCAATCCCAGCCCTGCCTCAAACCCCTATGGATTCTCACATGCGTAGCTCACACCCCAAGTGTTGTAGCACATGGCCTTCGATTACTGTTCCCCACCTACTCCTGTTGTTGCCTTGGCTCTTACTCTCCTCACTCCCTATACTTTTCTTTCTGATAATACCGAATAGCTCATGTTCTTTGCCTGGAACAGCCCCTCTCTTTTTTCTCTGGTGAACTGTCCCGTCATTAGAGCCCTGCTAGGGTGTTGAATATGGTAGTTATTATTAGAATCTAAATAATAGCTATCATTTATGAAGTGCTCATGGTGGGCCTGTGTTGGGGTTTTAGGGAGTCATAGGTAACACTCTGTTTTCTGTTCATATTTGGAACCAATTCTGAGAAAGGTATAGACACAGGTGGAGATCAAACTATTGGCTTTTTTACTGATAAAGGCTAATTTGGAGGACAGGGTCATTGTCTGGCCAAGTGGTTCTTTGGTCCAAACTTATCCCCAAAACTCTAGGCCTTCCCCACAGTGGAAACCCGTGCCATGTGTCAGCCCAGAGTGCCTGAGCGGAAGGTGCCAAGCCACATGTGTTCTGTTCTTCCTTCTCCCAAACTCACCCACTGTTTAGGTTATCCGTCCTCTGCTTAGAAAGTGGTGAGAATGGGATAGGCACAGAGAAAGGTCTGAAGTGTTAAAATAATGGAAATTGTGTTCCATGGAAACATGAAAAGTGGAAATAAGTATCCTTCTATCCCAGCAGTGGGCCCTGGGCTGTGTTCCGCACAGCTAATCTGCCACAGTTGGCAGTGTAAGGGATAGTCTGTGTAAGACAGCCATGCCCAGAGTGTTTATTCCTAGAGCAACAATGAAAGCAAGGACCGTGGTTTGAATGTGCCTAAGCACAGGGCCCTCACTCCTTCCTCTCATTCCCTTTGCTCCTTCAGTGTTTACCCATTGGTCACAGATCTCTAACTAAGATTGTGACTTAAGTATTTGTATCTTCCAGAAAATGGTCAGGTTCTATCTTGTGGCTCCAACTCCTTTGGCCAATTAGGAGTTCCTCATGGGCCTCGAAGATGTGTGGTTCCCCAGGCCATTGAGGTAAGGACATCATCTAATATGCCCCTTGACCGTGTCCTGTTAAAGAATTTCCAGGATATTACAGTTATTCCTTCGCAGACTGGCTGGGTCCCTGAATGCTGAAAAACAGTTTTTTTCTGAGAAAAATTATCTTGGGGGCGTGAAGGTTGTGAGTGAAAAAAAACCCCAAAACCCTCTGTTAGTCCTCACAGACTTTGTAAATTTTTGTGAAATAAAACAATAAAGGTTATATGTCTTATAAAGCCATTAATGGCTTTTTATAATTCTAAAATTAATAATAATGGGAACTATGTTAGAAATTGGACAAGATAGAAGTGACTTACCTATTTATAGACACTAAACTAGGCAAATGATATAAGCTAGTGTTGTCTAATCCTATATAATAAAAGCCTAATATGCAAATAGACTGAACAGCTGAACAACCAGTGGAATGACCAGTGGAATGACCTGTCATTATGATACACACTGACTACCTGGGGGCAGATGCTCAATGCAGAAGCTGCCACCAGCTCAAAGGCCCCAGGCCAGCCAAGGTGGGTTCCAATGGGGGGGCCTCTAGTCCCCCTGTGGTTGCCCCACAGAGGGAGGCGACCCTCAGCAGTGGTGGGGGTCAGAGCCGGCTGACGAGTGGGCCATAGATGGTGGTGACTGACAGTGGTGGCGGGGGGCGGGGCCAGTGAGTGGATAGTGCCAGGCTGGCCATGGCAGGTGCCCCCCCATCACCCCACTGGTCACCCCACAGTGCTGGCAAGGCCAAGGGACCCTACCCATGCACGAATTTTGTGCATCGGGCCTCTAGTAGAAATATAATATTTATCACTTCTCTGCCTTTTGGCTAAGATCAAGTGTAGAAATATAATGTATGCCATGTACTAGATGCACCTGTTAGTACAGATTTTTTTCAATGGATGGAGTTTGATATGTATACTATTTTGTTATATTGCTCCTTTATATTATCACTTGTTCCGATCGATGGCACATGTACTTTCTGAGCAACACTTCAAAACGTCTGAAGAAGTGGAAAATTTGGTCTCTGAATGGTTTGTCTTAAAACAAGAAAAGTTCTATTGGGACAGTATCCACAAATTACTTGAAAGATGGGGGAAATGTGTAGCTAGTGATGGACATTACTTTCAATATAGCACTTTTGATGTTTCTCTTGAAGTTATTGTGTTTTCTTTGATTACAAAATCCACATTATTATGGTTAATAATGCAGATTAACTATAACTTATTAATAGTGTGGATTAACTATTAACTGGTTAATAATGCAGATTAACTACTAAATGATCAATAATGTGGATTTTGTAACCCAAATAAAACATGGTAACTTCAAGAGAAACATCAAAAGTGCTTTATTCAAAGTAATATCCATCGCTAGCTACACATTTCCCCCAATTTACAGGTAATTTGTGGATACCATTCCAACAGAACTTTTCTTGTTTTGAGACAAACCATTCAGAGACCCAACTTTCCACTTCTTCATACATTTTGAAGTGCTGCTCAGAAAATGTGTGTGCCATCGATTGGAACAAGATGTAATCTGAAGGAGCAAGGTCTGGTGAATACGACGGGGTGGGTGGGTTAATACTTGCCAGGCAAGATCTTTTAACGTGTCTTTAATGGTTTTTAAGTGTGTGATGGTGTGTCATCATGAAGCAAAATTACTTTGCCGTGTCTTCTGGCACATTCTGGTGGTTTTATGATCAAAGTGTGGTTCAAATTGATTATTTGTTATCAGTAGTGATCAGTATTAACGGTTTCCACCTGGTTTTAGAAGCTCATAAATACACCACACCTTTCTGATCCCACCAAAGCAGAGCATTGTCTTCTTTCCGAAGTGATTTGGCCTTGCAGTTGATGTTGATGGTTGGCCTGGATCAACTCATGATTTTGTGCATTTGAGATTCTCAAAATAAGTCCACTTTTCATTGCCAGTCACAATTTGATGCAAAGAGACTTTCTTTTGTGCTGTTGAAGCAACATTTTACTGATGACTTTTCAGTTTTCCATTTGTCTTTCATTCAGTTGATGTGGCACCCATTTTCCTGCCTTTAAAAATCTTTCCCATTGCTTGTAAGTGATTGGAAATTGTTTGCTGAACAATGTTTAATCTTTCTGCAAGTTGTTTTTGAGTTTGACACACATTTTCATCCAATAATGCTTGTGATTGTTGGTCTTCAAACTTTTTCGGTTGACCTGGACATTTTTTGTCTTTCACATAGATATCATCACTTTTAAAGCGTTTAAATCAGCGTTCACAAGTATCTTGAGATGGACCATGTTCACCATAAGCTTCCCAAAGTATACATAACTTTCAGCACTTTTCTTCAAAGCAAAGCAATGAATTAAAACTTCCCGCAAATGCTCTTTTTTTTGGCATGAAATTCAACATTTTTAAGCATAAAAATATCTATCATGTTAACACTTTCAGAAAATTTGACATAGGAAGTTTGCTGTCATTACAACAAAATAGCATACATATCAAATCACATATATATCAACATATGTGTAACTCAATCTATTGAGCTTGTTTGGAGTTCTAGCAGGGGAGCGCAGCTACTTGTATACCCTTGACTGAAGACCGGTCCTCTCCTCTTGGGGGAAAGTCGTCCTCTTTGACCGAGCGTGCAGCTTCGGGAGGGACGCACATGGATCGGTGAGGGAGGAGGGGGACACCCGCCTAGCCAGCCAGACCAGCCGAATCAACCCTGGCGATCAATGGGGTGACAGATGTCGCAGCCAGATCGCCCTCACATCCTAACTCAATCTATTGAAAAAAAATCCCCATTATTAAACGGTGCACCTAGTATGTAATTTAAAAATTTCTAATAGCACCATTTATAAAAATAAAGAGAAATGAGTGAGATTAATTTTTAAAATAACAACTTTATTGAGATGTAATTTACATACTATAACATTTACCCTTAAAAAATGTATGATTTAGTGATTTTTAGTATTTTCACATAAATGTGCAGCCTTTACCATGATCTGTTTTTAGAACATATTCATTAACAGGAAAGAAACTGTACCCAATAGCAGTCACTTCTTATTCTCCCTTCCCTTCAGCTCTTGACAACTACTAATCTATTTCTATGGATTTGCCTATGCTGGGCGTTTCACACAAATGAAACAAATTATACAATATGCGTCCTTTTTTTTTTTTAATATGTGGCTTTTTATATCTGACTTCTTTCACTTCACGTGATGTTTTCAAGTTTTATTCAGGTTGTGGTATGTAGACAAAATTAATTTGAAAAACTTTTAAATTAATCTAGTGTATCCAAACTATTATCATTTCATTTTATATATCATTAATATATACATTTATTCATGAGGTATTTTGTATTCTTTATTTTATACTAAGTTGAACTCTGGTGTACATTTTTTACTTACCATATGTCTGTATTCAATCTGGTCACATTTCTGTTGTTCAGTAGTCGCACGTAGCTAGAGTATATCGAACAGCTTTTATATAGAACAGGGCTCCTGGCCCTAGTTCAGAACTCTTCACTGCATCGTATTTAAGATAAGATGTACAAATTTTGGTGACGTTTATAGTGTAAGTGATCATAATAGGACTGTGGAATATTTTTAAAGAAATATGCTGGGATCCAAGATGAGTTTTGCCACCTAAGCTGCTCCACTTCTATCTAATTTCCTAAAACTCTGACTCAGAGTGAGATATTTATTTTCAAGGGAGAGAGCTTTGTCTGCTTCTGTAATCTTGCTGAATTATAATTGCTGATCTGCGGGGCATTACTTGGGTCATGGTTTCCATGGTGCGTTAGTCTGTTTGGGCTGCTATAACAACATACCATAGACTGGGTGGCTTACACAGCAAGCATTTATTTCTCATGGTTCTGAAGGCTGGGAAGATCAAGACACTTGCATATTGGGTATCTGGTGAGGGCCCACCTCCTGGTTCGCAACCGTCTTCCTGCTGCATCCTTTCATGGCAGGAGAGGCAAAGGAGCTCTCTTGGATCTTTTGTGTTTTTTTAAAAATCCTCATCCGAGGATATTTTCCCATTGGTTTTCAGAGAGAGTGGAAGGAGAGGGAGAGACAGAGAGAAACATTGATGTGAGAGAGACACACTGATTGGTTGCCTGCCACATGTACTCCACCTGGGGCTGGGAATTGAGCCTGCAACCAAGGTACATGTGCCCTTGGCCAGAATTAAACCTGGGACCTTCAGTCTGAGGGCCAGTGCTCCCACCCCTGAGCCAAACCAGCTAGGGCTGAGAACCTATTTTTAAAATTACCACAAGACATCTTGGAGAGGACATTCTACACATATTTGGAAAGCATCATCAGAAGCTATAGCAGATAGATTTGGCTTCACCTAAGGAGATAAATGGAACAGTGCAAAGATGGAACAGGTGCCTGGGAAGGTGGTGAGCCCATGTGTCTAGAAGTAGGTGTTTGGCCGGGGTTGGATGGCCACTTTGTGGGGTGTTGTGCATTGGCTCCTAGTGTTGGATGGGGATTGGATTAGATCCAAGGTCTGCAAACTAGACCCTTGGTAAATAAAGTTTTATTGGAACACAGCCATGCCCATTTATTTATGGCTTTTATGACAGAGGAGAGTAGTGTGACAGAAACCATATGGCCTACAAAGATTAAAATATTTACACCCTAGCTGGTTTGGCTCAGGGTGGGAGCACCGGCCTTTGGACTAAAGGTCCCAGGTTTGATTCTGGTCAAGGGCACACGTACATTGGTTGCAGGCACATTCCGCGGCCCCAGTTGTGGCACGTGCAGCAGGCAACCAATCAATGTGTGTTTGTCATATCGATGTTTCTCTCTCTCTGTCTTTCCCTCTCCCTTCCATGCTCTGAAAATCAATGGAAAAGTATCCTATGATGAGGATTAAAAAAAAAGATCCTAAAGAGTTTCTCTGAGTTGCGGGCTCAATCCCCACTAGGGGGCGTGCAGGAGGCAGCCGATCAATGATTCTGTCTCATCATTGATCTTTCTCTCTCTCTCCCTCTTCCTTCTTCTCTGAAATCAATAAAACATATTTAAAAAATATCTATTTATTAAAAAAAAAACCCCAAAATATTTACTATCTGGCCCTTTATAGAAAATGTTTGCCACCCACTGTACTGGATGAACTTGAAGGTCCCTCCCACCTGTGAAAGGCTTTGTGACATGGTATTTTAAAAATATTTTTGTCTTTTAAGGATGCATGTGAAGGTGTTTATAAATGGGGGCTCTCAATCAGTCAGACACAGAACACGGGCTATGCAGTTTGGAGATGGATGATTCTGAGGTCTCAACCCTTTTCTCTGTTTTGACAGCTCCTGAGAGAGGAGGTTGTTAGTGTTGCTGCTGGACTGAGGCATGCGCTAGCTGCTACAGGTGATCATTTTGCTTTTGTTTTCTAAATAGATGTGTAATAAGGAGAAACAGAATTTTAGAAGTCAACTATAAGGAGTAACTCAGTGTCTTCCTCCGCTGCCCTTGTGATTAAAGGAGGGGCATAAGGCCCAAGCCATGTGGGAAAGCCGTTAGCAGGTAGGGAGGAAGGAAATAAAGTTTTCTAGCTCTTTATTATGTTCTAGGCATGGGGCTAGGCTCTCTTGATTTAATCAATACCTCATTTAATCCTCACAACCATGCGGTGATGTGAGTTAAATTTTTATACAGGAAGAAACTGAGGTTCAAAGAGCTAAAGTGCTTGCCTAAGGTTCCACAGGGAGTAAGGTAGTAAAAGGTAGACTGGAGTCAGAGGCTAGGATTCCAAGGCCCACTTTCTTGGCTGTGACAGCACTAGTAGGATTTTAATGTTTATTGATTTCAAAGCTTCAAATGAGCTTGTCTCCTGAACCGTGAGAGGGCGATGGATGTCAGGCTGGCTGTGTGTGAGGTTGAGGGTGATGAGTTGAGAGGGGCTGTGGCAGGTGGAGGAGCGGTAACTCTTTTCTCTCTCCCTTGCTCATTTTTCTGCTCCCACTCCTGGGCTGAAGGGCAGCCCTAACCAGCTGTGGCAGCTGAGGCT